GAGTATTGAATGGAGGATCCAGGCTTTGAACAATCCATTCTTTCTGAATGCAGAGTCTGTGCTCTAACTATGATAATTATAAGACTTGGATTGGTTCACATGAAGAAAATTAAGTTATAAATTGGGTTGTTAGGCAGTAATAGTAAGGATAATATTCATCTTTGGAAGTATACTTCCCAGTCAGCTGCCTACCCTCATGAATAACAATTCATGAGGCCAAGGATGCTACTTAGCCTGGCAGTCTCCCAATCCAAATAAGGACAATCAAACAGATTTTTTTTTTTAGGCCACATGTTTCTGGATTACAACTATGCCGCTTTGAAAAACAATAGCCTCTAGGGACACATCTGAAAGCAGGACTCATGAAATATTAGCATTTGGATTTGAAAATGTCTTGTCAAAAAACCAACAGTCATATTCATCAGGGAATTGTGCTAAGTCCCTCAAAGAAGGTCAGAATTCAAATTCTATCAGAAACTCTGTTTTTATTTTTCTCACTTAAAGCATCTTTCAAGAGGGACTTTTAACATTTGTTTTCTTAACTGAAACCCTGAAGTCACTAAGGCTTAGTAGGAAAAGGAGTGTGTGTGTGTGTGTGCACGCGCGTGCGTGTATTGTATGGGTTTTAAACTAATTCATAATTTGTTTTATCCTCCTTTATTACATGTTGACCTTCTTTTGCAGTGCAACCCAAACTTCAAAAAAAAAAAAAAAGCCTCCCTGGAATACTCACTGAAACATTTTTTTTAGAAAGAAAATTTTCCATTAAAAAACATCTCAGAAGTCAGCAGGTTTTATATTTAAAGTTTAAAAGCAAATAAATGCTTCTTCATCTCTCCTCATTCTACATCATCTCTGTTTTACTAATATTCCTAAGGCAAACGCAATTTTAATAATTGTGCACACATCTCAGCAAAAACATCTTCAGTTTCCTGCTGTATGTCTTACTAAGTCTATAGGAAATTAAATTACATCAAGTAGTGTTGCTGTAAAATTCTTGAGCTGATATTTTAATCATAAAGTCACAGACTTAGAAGATACATATGAGGTAATCTTAGGTCTAACCAGTGACACAATGGTAAATTTTTAACCACAGACTCTTCCGGAAAAAAAACAAATCTTGATTTGTAGCATTTGCCAATTTCCATGGTGTAAATATTCCCACTGTAGCCAATTTCAAGCTACCAATGTGACATCACTGAAGGCAGAGTTGGGAACATACACACCCACAATCTACACACCACTGGGTCTGACAACACTGACGGCACGTGAGCTTCATCAAAATTTCCAGTAAGTCTCTGAAACCTCCTTTTGGTCAGATGTTACCGAAAAGATGCAGTTGAGAATGTGCTTAATAGTCCAAGCCCTAGAGCCAGCCTGCCAAGACCCTAACTTCACTCTTTCAGTTACTCTCTGTGTTATTTAGGGTAAGCTATGTAGCTTTTCTGTGACTCTATTTCCTCATGTGTAAAAGAGTAATTATAAAGTTTCTATCTCACAGGATTGTTGTGATGATTAAATGAAATAGTGCATTAAAATGCTTAAAAGAGTTCTTGGCACATAGCAGGCTATAATAATAGGCTATTAGTAATAAATGTTAGGTATTGTTTTACCAGAATTTATAATTCCAACTGTAAGAATGTTTTATACATTGTCATCTAAGTCTTTCAGAGGCCATTAAAAACCATCCTGCTTGATAGCAGTACTTGAGAGGAGCCAGTTGTAGAGGAAAGAACACCAAATAAGAAATCACACCTTAGTTTCTAGTCCCAGTTTCTCCAGTGCCTAGGTCTGTGACCTTTGGCAAACCATTTTGCTTCTAAGCACTTTAGTTCTCTCAGTAGCAAAGGGCAGAAAGCAGTGACCGCTCTGCCAACTGCAAAGGATTGTAGTAAGACTAATACGAGATAGGAAACTAAGACCCCTTGAAGGATGGTACAAATGTGGGGTATTATTATTAATCTGATTTAAAAATCAAGATGCCATGGAGGCATTAAAATAAAATAGTAAAAGGTTTTGTGTCATTTGAGTAGAAATTGAGATGATGTGGGATTAAGAGCTGGGACTAATTTTGTAAAGAGCAAAAAAAAAATTCTACCATGAAGCAGTTAAGCATTTTTTCTTCCCATGAAAGAGCAATTTTCAAATGAAAGGGAACTATACTTTGAAATGTATCATATGTTTAAATGAGTTAGTTATCATGGGGAATTAAGTTAACAAAATATCTATGGAATCATAATTTTCTGGGAAAGGAAATACAACAGAAAAATTAATAAATACAGCATGTAATAACCTATCAAATGAAAGATGAGACACTTGGGCAAAACAAATAGTTAGTACTATGCAATTCTAAGATGAGTAATGTAAATTTCCAAATAACTTTTAAAGGTAAAATTCTTTAGTTTCAGAAATAAATATAAAAAATAAAATGTCAAGGACAAACTGAAGAAATCTTAAACATATTAATTCAGTCAATTTATGGGCAGTAAGGTGCACATACAAAAATGAAGGAGCAAGGAAATTATAGAAGCAACTCAGATTTTTTTTGATTTGCACTGTGAGTCTCTGTTCACTTAGAAGAATCATACACATTTATATGCAATCTGTGAAAGTTAACCAAGAAAACAGTGCTGCATAGAGTTTATAGTCTAAAAGTACAAGTTTGATTTTTTTTCTTAATTTGTGACTCTAAACCATGCCTTAACAGAGGAGTTCCAATCTGGGGACAAAGAAAAATTGATCTGTGCAACAAAGCCCTTACCTAACCCTTTCTGTCAGTTATTAGTGAAAATTCTCATTGCCTGATATTAAGAAGTTCAGTACATGATATAGGAATATCTCCAGGTTTCCTTATTTAGGAGGGAAAAAAGCAAAATGAAAGACTGTATATAGCATGCTACTTTCCATGAAAGAAGGAGAGAAAAATATGAAATAAAAATTTGTAATTAATCATTGGAAATATGCATAAGAAATTTAGGAGTTGAGAGTTTGAGTAGATAGGAACAAGGATAAATGCAACACTTTTACGAGGCACCTTTTTACATTATCTTGATGTTTTAATCACGTGAATTTATTACTTGTTAAACTATATATTTTTTGTTTTTTGTAAATATGTTTTTTTTAAGATTTTTATTTTTTTCTTTTTTCTCCGCAAAACCCCCCAGTACATAGTTGTATATTTTAGTTGTGGGTCCTTCTAGTTGTGGCATGTGGGACGCTGCCTCAGTGTGGTTAGATGAGCAGTGCCATGTCCAAGCCCAGGATTCGAACCAACGAAACACTGGGCCGCCTGCAGCGGAGCGGGCGAACTTAACCACTCCACCACGGGCCAGCCCCTAAAGTATATTTGTGTGTGTGTGTGTGTGTGTGTGTGTGTGTGTGTATGTTTAAGCCCAGTACACATCGATATACAAAACCTTCAATTTCACATCTGGTTAACATTTCTCCCGTCCCCAAGCTCAGGCCTGACCCAGGCATGGACACCTGCAAAAGGGAGGGGGCATCATGGACCTCCTCACTCTCCACGTTCCATCTCCTGTCCCACTCACTCTGCTGTTTCTCATTGTTCAGCAATGTGGTGGTGGTGGTGGTGGGGAATTATAAGGGCCAAAAGGTCTTACAAGACAGCTGTATTTGTTGTCATCCTGTGTGACAAATGCCCAAATTCTAGTTTGGTTTTTTTTTTTTTGCCTTGGGGAGCTTTTGTGAGTTCTTCAGAAGCAACTTGCTACTCTAAGAGGGTACCTTGAACATTATATGTTCTCTGACATTTGGGCTGGATTTTTATGATTCCTTCCCTGGCTTGTCTAGCGACAATCACCCCCATGCAGCGTCTTTTTCACCTTCTGAAGTTAGTATCTTTTGGTCAATCCCTTCAAAAGACCCCTACTCCACCTGCCTCATGACTTTGAAAAAACTCAGTGCCTTTTCTAAGCTAAACTCTGGAAGCACATATCTCTCCCTCCGCAGGGTCCCCCTTATCTGTGAATTCAAGGTAGTTCTAATCAGCCTACCACTTTCTTTTTTGAGATGAGAGTCAGGAACCAGTCTTAGTACTCTCCGAACTCCAAGAAACACTAGTCAAATCTCCCAAGAACTGTCATATCATACACCCCAGAGTCTTCTGTTAGCACTATGGTCCCCAGGAGTGTCCCCTGCCCCCCCCATGACTTGAAGTTGGGGGTAAGTACCCCCTCAGACAGCAAAGAGAAAATGCAAAGTTCTCCCGTTAGGCCGGGGTTTCTTAACCTCCATACTATTAACACTTGTGGCTGGATAATTCTTTGTTCTGGGGGATTTTCCTGTGCCTTGTAAGATGTTTAGTAGCATCCCTTGCTTCTGCGCATCACATAACAGTAGCACATCCCCATCAACCAAACCAAAACTGTCTTCGGATATTGCCAAATGACCCCTGGGAGAGAAATCACCTGGTGGAGAGCCACAGCCCTAGGCTAACAACCGTCTGCAAATAAATCTCCATTTCCTGATCTCTTTACCACTCTGCTAATTATGAGACTAGGTGATGATCAAAGGCACATTTGGAACTGCTCCTTAACAAGCCCTGCACAGAGGATCTGATAGATACATCTCATGAGAACGGGCATGTGACACCATCTTCTCAGAAGGAACTCTGAAATTTTGAGATAACAGGAAAATCTTTACATCAGTAAAAGCTTACATCTGCCTCTGACATTTAAAAATCTGGGCCTAAGCACAGTGAGGGTAGAGAGAGAGGAGAGTTTACTTTATTCACTTTATGACTTTATTGTTTGACTATGTTTTGTTATTCAAGCATTTGGATTAAAATGATTATTTTTTAGAAAGGATCATAGTACAATTACATAACTACATGAAGAAGAACCTTTTAAATTTTAATAAGGTTTTGATTTTTGTTTCATGACTAAGATTTGCTAAATTCAAGTTTGAGATGAAGGAGAGTCAAGAAAGAGGAACAAAGGGGAGAGAGACAAAGATAAAAGGGAGAGGCGGTTAAAGCTTACCTTGTTTCATCGATATAAACTGCTTCCAACACAGATGCTGCATATTCAATATTCTTCTTTAAGTCTACGATGTTAACATCACCTTTTTCCAGCTGCTTCACTAGGCATCTTAGTCTATTTCAAAAAAGTACCCAAAAAGAGAGAGAAATAAAAAGAATTTTATTGTAACTATATGGAAAATAGTACAATGTTAAATACACAAATTGAGTAAAACTTTTAACATATCTTTCTGGGTTGGTCATCAAATAGAAATATTTTCAGGGATTTTTTTGTATAATTAAGATCAATCTACGGGCCAGCCAGGTGGCACAGTGGTTAAGTTCACACATTTTGCTTTGGTGGTTTGGAGTTCGCCAGTTCAGATCCCAGGAGCAGACGTTCGCACTGCTTGTCAAGCCATGCTGTGGCAGGCGTCCCACATATAAAGTAGAGGAAGACGGGCACGGATGTTTGCTCAGGGCCCGTCTTCGTTATTAAGAAAAAAAAAGGTGGATTGGCAGCAGATGTTAGCTCAAGGCTAATCTTCCTCAAAAAAAAAAAAGATCAATCTTCATCACTTAAGCAACAGTTAGAAATTATGTTCATCTCTCAATAATAACAAGGCTGTAGAGTGCTAGTTTAGATACTATATTTCAAAGATAGTCTTTCTGAAAATTCAAAACAATATACGCATTTTCATGAAAGTATATTCCTAACACTAAAATTTACCCCAGAGCTGTTGTGCTTCTTCAGAGTTGGCGCTGAGAGACTGTTTAAAGGGTGCTCTTTTGACGCTACTGTAGCAATTGTTTGTTGTGTATAGCAATAAGAACAAAAGTGAAAAGCAAAAATTCCAAGACAATACAATCAAGATGAGAAAAAATATATGTCTGTGTGCTTAGTGTTTTTACTGCAATGGTTTTTCACCTGAGTCAAATCTGTAAAACATTTCCTCTTGTTTTTGCCCATGAGATGATGTGTGCTAACTTCCCAAGTAACTAGAAAGCATAGGGTCAGTTAAGCCACATCTGGATTACTGACTCACAGAAACTGTCAGATAATTAATGTTACTGTTTTAAGCCACTGAATTTTGAGATAATTTTTTAAGTAGCAATAGATATCTCATGTAGTGAGATAATACAAATTACTTCAACAAATATCTAACACTTAGAAATGTCTATGCATTAGTAAGAAACCAAGTGTTTCTAAAGATACTGCCCCATACTGGGCAGAGAAGGAACACATATTCCTCACTCTCTACATGTTGTAGATAAACAATGTGAGGACAATTATCCACTTTCCTAAGTCAGCAGATAGAATTTAATTCCATTCCTGAGCAGAAGCATTTCAGAGAAATACTTTTAGGCACTATCTTAGAGATATTGTAGCAGATTTTCTGAAAATTTACTTTGAATGATTTCCAATACCAAGACTTAGGATATAGAGACAAGCTAAAAATTTCAGCAAGGGTATCTGACATTCCTCCATCCATAAGAAACACTGTGTTTCTCCATGGAAAAAAAGCCACATCTGACTAAACCTTATTATTCAGGAAGCTACAAATGATTATTTATTTATTTTTTAAAGATTGGCACCTGAGCTAACATCTGTTGCCAATCTTCCTTTTTTCTTCTTCTTCGTCTTTTCCCCAAACCCCCCAGTATATAGTTTATATTCTAGTTGTGAGTGCCTCTGGTTGTGCTATATGTGATACCACCTCGGCATGGCCTGATGATCAGTGCCATGTCCATGACCAGGATCTGAACCAGCTAAACCCTGGACCACCAAAGTGGAGTATGCAAACTTAACCACTAGGCCATGGGGCCGGCCTCCACAATTATTTTTTATACCATATACTTTTGTAAAATGAAATATAAGCAGACAACAGTATTGCAAAGTAAATTCTATGTAAGAATAAATAGGTCTTATTAGTATAGAAGCAACAAAGCAAAACAAAACAAAAATAACAACTTAAACAGGTTACTTAGACAGGAAATTAAGCCTCGATTTGAGGCTTGCCTAAAACACCAAATGTGATGAAAATGGAGCAACATATAGAGTGTTTTGAGATTTTTGTAATGTTTATGACCCAAGCACATTATACTTAGTCAAATAGCTTTTTATATCTGAAGGTAAGAGTTTCACTGCTCTGCATTGACTTAAAAATATACCGCTCATGTATCCGTCTTGTGAAAATTACTTAATCATACTTGGTTGTATGATCCAGTTTTGAAAACACTAAGAACTTCAGATGGTTGCCTCCCTTCTCTCTGAATAACTGAGCTCTACTTTTATTTGACTTAGCAATTTTCTTCGCTAAAAACCTACATTTCCCAGGCTCTCTTGAAGCTGGGTATGGTCATGTGACTGCATTCTGGCCAATGAGATATAAACGGAGGTTGTCAAGTAAGACTTTCAGAACAATTATTTTGATGAGGGCTAACTCAGTTGGAAGGAGCTCTCTTTTATCCCTTGCCTATTCCTTCCTGCCTGGAATGCAGTAGGACTGTCTGAAGGTCCAGAAACCATCTAGGATCATGAGGTAACCTGGCAGAAGGAAGTCAACCACTAAGAATGGCAGAGAAGGAAGATGGCAGTGGCCTGGATCCTATGCTGTCAATCTACCTGAAAGAAATCACCCACCGCTGAACTTATCTCATATAAAACAACAAAAAATGTTGTGTTTAAGCCACTATTATTTTGAGATTTCTTTTATACGTCGCTCAACCCAATCCTAACTGATTAATCAAATGAATAAGAAATGAATCAAAATAAAGAACTCAGGGGAGAGGATGCCCCTGAGAAACTCTCCACAGGTGCACTTCCTAACTCATGGCAGCCTGCAGTTCTTCCCAGGGGAATCATTCCACCAGCAGATCACACCTGGTGAAACCTGTGACATCAAGAGCCTCCAATGCTTGGACAATGACTCTGCCCTTTCACAGAGACATCTCAATGTGATTTACAAACAACAAATATTATGAAGTATAATATCTTAATAGGAGTATAAAACTATAATCTGACACAAGAAATTGCTCTGAAAAAAAATACTCCAAAAAGATTGTACCACCCAATTAGAAAACCTACTTAGATATGGTTATAACTCTGTAAAATCATAACCACTCATACACACACACACACACACAAACACACACACACACACACACATCTAAACTCAGTACATCAACCCAAAAAGACTGGAAGGAAACATACATTTTTGGGTGACTAGGACTTCTCTCTCCTTTATCTTCTTTGCCTATACACAGTAAATTTCCTTTAGTGAGTACAAATTTCTTTTAAAGAAAACCTTTGTATTATAAAAAGATTATTCATAATTAAAACAGCAGGTTAATGGAATAATTTATATAATTATTATTTCAATTGTGAAGTCATCTTTGTAATCAATTTAGGCACATAATAATCCCCAACAACCTTATGTATGCTATTATTTCATTTTCTTTTATAGATAATACAAAGTCAAACATCTTCATCATTTCAACTTATCATACGTTCTAAACTAGAATGTTCCACAGTATTAAGGCTTTACTGCATATATCTGTACACATTTTTAATTTCTTAAGGAAGATAGGTATGGACTTTACCTAATTCCTAAGCCATCCTATGGACAAATTCTCATAACTGAAGAAGAAATCACAAAGTCCTGTGCATAAAATAAACAAGTTCCCTTAATTTAATAAAGACTCTTTAGTAATGAATCGGTTTCTTTCATCAGAGTAGGCAAGCTGAGTAAAAAACAGTGTTCTTAACAGCAGGCGTAGGTATGTTGTTCTGGTTCCCAAAGCTTAGGCTAAGTACATGTACGTGATGTTCTAACCTGAGCAGTTTCTAGCTCAACAATCTGTGGATGGAGACTCCACTGGCTGCTCCGCTTGGGAGCAAAACTAGTGAATAGCTGTTCTATCAAACAGCATAAAAACAGATTTCTAAGCAGAGAAGATTGCCAAAAAAGTGTTAGAAACCCAACTCAGTTAAGTAAATAATTATTTAGCATTTATTACTACACTTGGAGCTGTATAAAATAGTATATATATGGATATATATAAGAATATATATGAGTGTACATATAAGGATACATATACACACATACATATATACATATATAATTCATGAGCACCTGTGTGTGCACCACAATACCCGTCTTCAAGATATTTGCAGTCTCTGGCGATGGCATGACATGTGCAAAGAATGTGGTCAAATGTTGAAATGCATATATTTCTCATTAGTTCTTTTTACACACACCCTAATTTCCAAGCAAACTAATTTAGTCACTTGTTCCTCAAACAATTTCACATCATCCTAGATTCAAGTTCTTCTCTTTTACTGAAATTCCTTTCTCCCACATGTCTACCATCTTTAAACGTCTGAATCAGGGTTAGTTACCAGGCATATCTGCCTAGTGTAGGCACATCTATATCATAAATCCTTTGAAGATTCCCATCCATTGTGATCTCTCCCTACTTAGCAACTAAACCACACTTCATTTATCCCTCACTAACAACATTGAAATTTCTCTGGCTTCCATCATAATTTCAATCTTTTGTACATGATGTTTTCCCAATTGGTTTTCCATCCTGTAAAAAATTATGAGGCACACAAAGAAGCAGAAAATTTGACCTATAATGAGGATAAAAATCAGTCAGTAGATATTGACCCAAATATGACAAAGATGATAGAATTCGTAGGCAAAGATGTTAAAACAGTTCTTATTAAGCAAAAAATAATATAAACATATGCCAATAAAATCAACAACTGAGATAAAATGGACAATTTCCTTAAAAGACATAAGCTACCAAATCTCAAAAAGAAATAGATAAACTGAATTTGGAGTTAAAAACTTTCACACAAAGAAAACCTCAGGCCCAGATAACTTCAATGATCAACTCTAACAAATATTTAAGGAAGTAATAACATCTATTCCCTACAACTTTTCCAGAAGAATAATCTCGATTTATTCTAGGAGTCCAAAATTACCCTTATAACAAAACCAGATTAAAACATTACGAAAAGCAGCAGCAGCAACCTGTAAATGAATATGCCTCATGAACATAGATGTAAAAATTCTTAACATTTTAGGAAATCAAATCCACCAATATATAAAGGATAGTATGCGATAT